CCAATAACCTCTACTAATAAAAGGTATATTGTTGTTGCCACTAAATATCTAACAAAGTGGCCCGAAGCTTGTGCATTAAAAATGGCTAATACTGAAAATATTGCCACATTTATCTTTGAAGATTTGATCTGCCAACATGGAAGCCCAAAAGAAATATTGTCAGATCAAGGTTCTCATTTTTGTAATAAAGTGGTTGATACCCTTTGCAAGAAAATGAAAGTCACCTACCATATGTCCACGGCATATTATTCCCAAACAAATGGCCTCATTGAATGATTCAACAAAACTCTTTGTGGAGTTTTAAATAAGTGTATAAACCAGTTTCCAAGAATGAGAACAATATATACCCACTACCCTTTTTGCTTACTGAACTATGCTCCATCATACCACAGGTTATGAGCCTTTTTATTTGTTATATAGTCGTTCTGCTATACTATCTATTGAAAGTATTTATATAACTTATCCTACCCGAATCGAGAATAAAGAAGAACTACAAAATCAAATTTTACGACAGGTCGAAAAATTAATAGGAGAAATAACTGAAGCCCGATTAACAGCAAAGAAAAAATAAGCAATGCACAAATAAGACAAAAAGTAAATTATGAGAAGAAGAATAAAATAGAATCATATAAAATCGGTGATCAGGTCCTATTATATAGGTCTGATCTACAGACGTCATATAGTGCTAAATTAAAACTCCCCAATACCAGTCCTTACTATATTCATGATGTACTACTCTATGGGTTATACAAATTACGAACAATGGCTAGACACATACTCAAGGTTAAAGTCTATAGAAACCGGTTAATTCGATATCACGACTATAGTTGTGGGACCCCCTTGAAATTATGTCAGTCGCGAAAATAAAAAGCCCACTCTGAGGATTTTGTTTTTCTCTTCCCTTTATTATATCCATCTTTCTTTCATTTATTCTCGACTATTTTTTTTTTCTTATTTTTTATATATATTTTATTTTTTTTTATTTTCTTTTATTTATTTTGTTATAAAAATTCCCGCCTCTATCAAAAGAACTTTGCTACTTTAAAGACTTAAATGATAAATGCGTTTTCGAAGGCACTTACTTCATTTCCGCTGACAATATTATTCATCTAACGGATCAGCAATCTCAAGTTATTAATTTTAATCCTCCTAAGTGCAAGACCGATGCCCAATTGCTGCATACTAAGCTACCAAA